CAGTTAGATAATTGCACAACATTTCTTCCACTTTTTTTCTCACTAAAAAATGATCAGACCAGCCCTTTCCTGCTAATGCCCTTTTGGGTTTGGGTGGGTTTTGAACCCAGCCTCTGACCTGCTCCCAAACGTTGGGACACAATCTAGGTGCCAGTGGGAAGAGCCCAGTTGGTATATGGTAATACCAGTAATGTGGAATAAAGATCCCTAGGATGAGGGGGGTGAGAGGACCTGGCATGGGTCAGTGAGGCCACACAGAGCCCGTGCCTTGGGGGAGCATGTGATGGGAGCTGTCAGGGCTCCTAGAAGTTATTGGGGGATAGGAAATGGCACTAGGACACTTGGGACATGGACACGACAAGTCCTGTGTGTGTGCAAGGCTCTCGGCTTGCAGAAGCAACAAAGAGCACGACTTCTGGTTAGTATTTAGCGACCCCATGGGAGTGGGCCAGGCCCTCCCCGGGGCCAGGCACTGCACAGGAAAGCCATTTCTGATGAAGTGGTGCTCCTCCCCTCCAAGGTGGGAGTCTCTGTCCTTTCCACCCAGCAGGTCCGCACCTCCAACCCAATCCACCCACACATGCACTGAGGGGGAACAGCTCTGGTCCTGATTTGGGGCTGCCGCCAGGCCAGCACACCTGCCAGGCATGGACCGCCCCCAAGCCAAATGTGCTTCACTCGTCAGCTCCTTCAGGCCTCTCTGACAAGCAGTGGCATCGTTTTACCAGGGGACCTTCACAATGCGAATTGTGCCACGAGGGCAGCATTTCACTAGGGCCGACAAAAAAATAATAGCAGCAATTTTTGCCGCTGTTTCGTAACGTGTACAAGCGCCCTCTGAGGGCACGAGAACCAGTTCTAGGAAACTTACCTGAATGTCTCAGCTCCGGCTCGCAGGGAGGCTGGTTTTACTGGTTTCACACAGAGAGCCGTTGACCTATCAAGGGCAGCTCTTGCTGAAGCCTTCGGGGCTGGTTTTGCATGTCCTTGCTCTCGGGCAAGTCTGCTGTAGTCAGCACGGTCCCACGGATCAAAACCTGGATCGGACGAGGCCATGGCTCAGGCACATACTGCCTTCTTCAGATGTGAAAGCAGCCTTGAACCTCTTTGGGATGAGGGGTCACTGCTGCTGTTCCTTCAATGAATGAGCAATGCGGACAGGAGATGGGAGAAGCCTTTCTTACCCTCTTCCTTTCTGGAGACCCTCTCCATAACTGGGTTCAAAAGCTCCTTGTGTCCTGGGTGGGATGGGGTGGTGTGAGGCTCCTGAGACCAATGTCGAGTGGGAAACCTGCCTACCAAGAGTTGTGGCCAGCCATGACGGGCCTGTTTCTGCCCTGCCTATGGACCCTATGGGTTGAAGCTGATACACTACAGATGCAATGAGGCTGCTCACAGGGCAGACACCAAATCAGAGAGGTTATGAGCACACTCCCAACACTCCTCAGTGGAGGCTGCATTGCATCCTGTGTTGGGAGGTGATGCATGCTGCTCCCTGCCAGCAGCTTGCGGTCCAGAGGCTTGTGAAATGATGGCTTGTGAAACTGAGGCCTACGTGCCCTCTGTTTCATAGACCCAGTGGACCACACTGCCTTGGAAACAGAGGGGAATGTGTCCATGGGCTTCCACAGGTATTAGACCCGACTAGGCGGTGAAAGCAACCCCCATGCGCAGCGCCAGCAGGAGGCTGGTTCGCTTTGCAGGTCTGGGGACAGCCTCTGTCGGGAGCTGCATATCACCCCGGTGGGGAAGCAAGGGGCATGAATAGCAGTGCTTTCCTCCTCACTTGCCCTGAGCCATCCTGCTCTGTGGTGGCTCTGGAGCCACGTGCGCACCTGGGGCTGCTGCATGCTCCCCTTGCCCCCACCTGTAGGACACGGTGGGTGTGGGGCTGAGGCCCACGTTGCAGAACAGCTCACGTATCTCCGTTTTGCTCTGGTTTCTGGCCGGCTTCATGCTGGGCCCCATCCCACGGCAGTTTCAAGGCACCGACCCTGTTTGTGCATTGACATCTGTTTGCATTTACTTCTGAGCGTCACCTGGGCGCTGTGTTAATCGTCACTGTCAGTGTCGATTTTATTTTTTCTTCTGCTGTCAAGAAGGGAAGGGAGACGAGGAAAAGATGAGCTGCGTTGCGCTCCTCCCCGAGGACCCGGGACCACCACCATTTCATTCCTAGCACCGGATCTGTGGCTCCTGAGTTGATTGCCCTCATTAGCACACGGGGACCACCACGGGTCTCTTGTCAGCTGGTTTTGGTGTCATTTGCATGCAAGTGCGACCTTGCTAGTGAAGGAGGCAGGCAGGTGACTCTTCTTTCAGACGGGGAAATGGAGCCGCAGAGGGTTGAATGGCCTGAGCCTGCTGACAGCTGAGCTCTTTGGAGGGCCTGGCCGTGAATGCAAGTAGGACAGGTGAGATCTAGTAAATCTAGCCCTGTGGCACTTGCTCTAGAGGGAGTGTGTAGCCAGGCAGGGGCTGGACTCACTTCCCCCACCCATCACATCTCAAAACCACCCTAGTTTTCTGAATGAGTAACATCCGCTCTCTGCTTCTCAGCCAGGCCTCCCAGTATCCACCAGCACCGTGGTGCTCCTGGGTTTTCGCCAGCATGGCATGTCCATCAAAGCCGTTCCCTCTCCACTGCCCCCATCTCTCATGGCGGTCGTCTCCTCTTTCCACCCCACAACTGGGACTCCCCAACTGGATCTCCCCTTTCCAGCCCAGGTAACTGGGGACCCCCCAACTGGAGATCCTCTTTCCAACTGGCACTGGGGGGACATACATCCCTACCTGGTTGAAATGATGTGGTGCATCGTGGGACCACCACATTGCATGGGAGATGTCGCCTGAGCCAGGAGCCCGATGCACAGAGTAGATGGGGGAGAGGAAGCCCCTGGAGCGCAGTTCACTGCAGCAGCTCACAGGGACCCACGTGGACATTGAACTGAGCTGGCATGAAATGTTTTGATGCAGATCAACACCCCATCAGTAGGCGTTTCCATCTGAAACGTTCAAGCCTGACATATCGGTTAGCCTGCAGGCAAACACAAGTTCGGCCCAGCCTCACCCTGCCTGCCATGGCTTGACCTTTCCACCCACCCTATTCTTCACCTTTGAGTTTTATAGGAACAAAAATGGTCCCTCCAAGCTCGGTAGGCCAGTGTGGGTGAGACATATCACTTGCACCAGCCAATGGTACCCAGGGAGTGATGGGACTAGCTACATCCCATCCAATCCCCTTTGGCTCTGCAGCCCAAATGTCCAGGTAACTCTTTGCAGCAGGTAAACTGGGGGCAGTTTCAGGCATGGGTCTGGAGCAGGGCTCAAGCTTACGTCCCTGGGACAGTAGGAAGACACTTCATCCCCTCCGCTGCTACAGAGCGATGACCCCAAACCAAAACCATGCCAGGAGAGGTGGAAGCTGGCCGCGGACTGCAGCCCGGCGTGTAGTTGGCAACCCCCAGAGAGGGACAAGGGGCACGTGGGGGTGTCAGTCTGCTGGGGATGGCTTGGGGGGAGTTTGCACCAGGACTTTTGTGACCAAACTGGCAGCACGAGGCACAAGGGAGTGGAGTGCTTTTTTAGGGCAGCACACGGACAGAAGATGATGAAGGCGGCCGTCTTGATTCACCTGTTTTTGCTGCTGTGGGAGCCACGGGGGTTACAGCAGTCGGTGCAAGGGGATGAGGCGTTATGCACCACCTCTGTCCCTCTGCAGCCCGAGAGACTCGGATCTGCAAACATTTACGGAGGGGCTTATCTTTAAACACAAAACCCTCGAGCTCCACGGACTAGCAAAGTCCTACTGTGCGCAGAGTTAAGCGGGCGTGTGATTATGTTCAGGATTAGGATGGGGACGTGTAAATAGGATGCCCCCCCATGGGGTCCCTCCTCGCCTTGGCTTTTAGCAAGTGGCGTTGCGCACTGGACAGCATCCTGCGAGGCCGAGACTAGATCTGAAACATCTCGTCATCGCCTTGGAAAAGCAACACTTCACTCAAAGAAGAATAAGACACACGATTTGCAATGGGACAGCTTTATTCTCCCCAGACTTGTTAAAGAAACTCAGTTCAATGACACAACCGAAGCACAAAAGCATCAATGGAGCAGAAATGCAATGTCCTGCCGCAGGCTTCCCGACAAGAGCAACAATGTCGACAGAGCTACTTCTCCAGTGCACTCGGGACAGTAACAGTTCCCCTTTCCCATAAGCAGACAAAGCAGGATAGGAAATAAGCATCTCGCCAGCCCGCTTATCTTTCCCCCTCCCTTTCCTCGTGAATAAGACCACAGCTTTCTCTAGGGTGTGCTCCCAAATTTGCCCTAAAGTCCCTGGGGAGAAGCCGGCCTGCTTCTCCTTTCAGACTGAATCAGAGATTGTTTCATTTCAGGGGATTGAATCAGAGATTACCAAATGCCATGAAAGCCGCAAAGCCAGCCCAGGCTCAGGGCACGTCTGTGTTTCCTAGCATCAGCACCCAAGCGCCTTGGGTTTTCCCCGCTGCGAAGGCAGGCGGGCGGCTTGTCAACCCCTTGAAATCTCTTATTATGAGGCCTTCTTCGGGAAAGCCAGGCATGGTGGGGAATACAACCCGGGATTGGGGCCTTTCTGAATTTTAGTGGGGAGGTTTAGAAACCCAGGTTCAGAGGCAGACGTGTGGCGAGATCCCTTATCTACCTCGAATGAGCACACGGGTCCCAGTGCTGCCAGAGATCCTGGGGAAGCCAGAGGGATTTCGGGGGGCTCCCCCGTGGATAAGGATCTGCTCGCATAGACCTGCATGAGTGAGGGCTGCATTTGGCTTTAGGGAACGTGCTGACAGCCAAGTGCTCGCGATGCTGCAAACCCCGACCCCCGTGAGGCGTCCGTCCTCCCAGAGGCTGCTTGAAACCGAGGGCTGATCTCACAGGAGCGAGGGATGCAGGGATCGGCCCAAACGCCATTGGTGCATGCGAGCTGCTGCCTGTTTCCAAAGACAATTGGCGCCGGCCACACGGTCCTGGGTGTGACCTAGTTTTGCATGAGTCCTGGGGTTTAGCTAATGAGCAGGACAAGTCCTAACCAGCCTTTAGAATAAAACATCAGGACAAGAAAAGCAAGAGGAAGATGCCAGTAGGAGAGCGGAAACCAACCCAAGTCCTTGATATGCACCGTCCAGCAGCGGTGGTGGGAGGAAGGCTGACAGGGGAGAGGAGGGGACGTGTGCACGCGCCCCTGGCCTCACTTCCCCATCATCATGCGCACAAACTCCTCGTAGTTCACTTGCCCGTCGCTGTTGCAGTCAGCTTCCCTGATCATCTCCTCCACCTCCTCGTCCGACAGCTTCTCCCCCAGGTTCGTCATGACGTGTCGGAGCTCTGCCGCGCTGATGTAGCCGTTCCCATCCTTGTCGAACACCCGGAAGGCCTCCCTGATATCCTCCTCGCTGTCCGCGCCCCTGATTTTCCTCGCCATCAAGGACAGGAACTCGGGGAAGTCGATGGTGCCGCTGCCGTCGGCATCCACCTCGCCGATCATGTTTTGCAGCTCGGCCTCCGTGGGGTTCTGCCCCAGCGAGCGCATGACGGTGCCCAGCTCTTTGGTGGTGATCGACCCATCCCCGTCCTTGTCAAAGAGGGAGAAGGCCTCTTTGAACTCTGCAATTTGCTCCTCTGTCAGCTGGTCACCCATGCCGGCTCTTCTGCAGCGCCCCAGCAGTGATCTCTGTGCTCCCCGGCTTCCCCGCTCTCAGCCGCAATGCACACTCGCCTTCTCTGCCTCAACTTGCAGAGCCGGGGTGTAGGCAGAGACGCAGCGTTGCCTCCTGACGTGCGCAGAGCCGTAAATCAGAGCATCCCCACCCTCCTCATCACCTCAGGGCCTGGAGCTGGCACCTGCTCCCATGTGAAGTCAGTGGGAGGAACTCGCCCTCCTTGCAAGCTGTACTGGTAGCCAGTTCACCAGGGGACAGGGGCTGCCTAGCAAGAACGGGGTAGGGTATCTGCAGGCAAAGAGATGGACGCTATCTCACCAGGGGACAGGGCATGCACAGCAGCCATGGGAACGGTGCCTACGTCTGGGGCAGAGATAACATTAGCATGGAAAATATGCATGGAAACCGGTTTACCAAGAACCAGTTATCTGTGCAGGTTGTGGAAACTTCTGCACTGGCAGATTTAAGAACAGGTTGGACCAACCTCTGTTAGAGATGGTCTAGGTTAACCTCCCTCTGCCCCATCACAGGGGGATGAGACTAGATGACTTCTTGAGGTCTCTTCCAGCGATCAATCTATCTATCTATCTATCTATCTATCTATCTATCTATCTATCTATCCATCTATCACCATAGTATCCAAACACTCTGACAAGGAAAGACTCAGTCCCTCCATTTTCCCCTGTGCCATTGGATGAGTGCTGAGATGCAATACTCTGAACACTGGAATCACAAGCCATGAAATCAAAGAAGAAGTAAGGGTCTTCCTTCTTGCCTTTTGGTTATATCGTGTGTTTTTCCTGCAGATTTCGGAGCTGGCTGCCATATGTCTACATAATGTAAAGCTGCCCTGCAGCTGAGATGGGTAGTTCAAACTGAGGATAACCCACAAGTTGTCTAGGACAGAGCATCGCTGTAGTCCTGGAGAATGGCTGCTGGAGCAGCTAGGTCTGACGACTGAAAATCAGGAGACTGGGGTTCGCCCCAGTGATCCGGTCCTGTGACCACAGAGAAAGTTGCATTATGTCTCTGTGCCTCCGGTTCTCACGATGATCCATGAATGAGAACGATTCCCCCCAGCATTATTGGCAGTAGGCTGCACACTTCTTCTAGGTGTCCTCTCCAGGCTATGAGCCTTATATCACCCTCTGATAGCGGCTAGCAAGGGAGAGCCAAGATCTGACCCTCCCTGCCAGCTGAGCAGAAGGGGTGAAATGGTGATCCCGTTTCCCTGCAGGCAACAGCGAAGTCTGGGATCTGTTTGCAGATGGCTGGGGGGAATCTCCATCCTTGGAGGCTTTGAAGACCCAGCTAGACCAAACCTTGGCTGGGATGATGTAGTTGGGGATGATCCTGCTTGGAGCAGGGGGTTGGACTAGATGTGACCTCCTGAGGTCCCTTCCAGCCTCATTTTCCATGATTGTGTGATGCCTCAAACTGCTCTGGGGTCTGTCTGCTGCACGGGTGTCAAATGCACGGAGAAAAGTTCAGGTGAAGGCTGATCCTGGCTACCAGCACTCTCTGCTATCTCTCTGCTATAACCTTTGTGTCTCTAAAATACAGACACACGCCCTGAACAAACCCCACCTGCAAAGGCAGTAACACTAATCCAGGGAGCAAGTCGACGCCGAGGGCTTGGAGCTGGTGAAGTCCACATCTCCCAGGTGACCGTAACCTTCTCACCGGGACGCTTTGCAGCTGCTGCACAACACCTGGCTAGAAGTTGCGGGGGTTGTATTAGTTTAAGAGTGTCTTTTCCCTGCATGGACGCGATGGTGCTGAATTCATTGACTCCTGCTAGAAAAGGGAAGTTGTTAACCCTTCATGGCTGACGCATGGACCGTGGGTGGCTGCCAGTGGAAACTCATGTTGGGCTCTTGTCATCGGAGAACTCCATCTGCAGCCTCGGGCTCCGTGTCACGTGCTCCGATCACACATTAGAAAACTGAACATGGGCCCAGCTAGGTTTTGTTTTCTCTTCTGCAACAGCCTTAACACACCCAGCATGGTGTATTATCGTGTAAATCAGGTTCTCTGTTTTCGCAGGTTCATAGATGTAGGGTCAGAAGGGACCTCAGTAGATCATCGAGTCTGACCCCCTGCCCTGGGCAGGAAAGAGCGCTGGGGTCAGATGACCCCAGCTAGGTGCTTGTCCAATAGTTTTTGTACAGTAGTAAGGCCGAGATATTTTTAAGGGGAAAAACAATTGGGATGCAGTACCCATTATCTCGCTGTCATTCGGTTAAACCTCCAGCTCACACGGATGATAGAAAGCCTGGTCTGAAGCCTGCTGAAGGCACAAGGAGCTTCCTATTGCATTCTCCACCCTCATGGGACCCTGGATGGCATTGCTACTTGGTGCTTTGCAGCTTTTCATGCTGGAGACATGCATTCGGAGTCGCCTTGCCTCGTTTCAGCTGCAGTGGGGCTCGGGGCAGGCACGGAGATTTGTCCTTCCATTGCTTCTTGCAGAATTGGGCCCGTCACGTCCAGGGGCAGATCCAGGGGGGGTTCAGTGATGCACTTGTACCCTCTTTTGATCCCTGCTCCACCCAAAGTTTCAAACCAACTGCCTGGCAGCAGCTGTAGCATTTCTAGTCAGGCAGTGCTGAGGGAGTCACTTGAACTCATGGCTCGTTATTGGTGAAACACTGGAAGGGGTCACCCAGAGAGGTGGTAGAAACTCCATCCTTGGAGGTTTTTAAGGCCCGACTTAATAAAGCCCTGGCTGGGACAATGTAGTTGGGGCTGGTCCTGCTTTGAGCAGGGGGTTGGACTCAATGTGACCTCCTGAGGCCCCTTTCAATCCTCACTATCTATGATTTTCTCATTATCATCCACCTGATTCCTTCTAAACTCTTCACTCCGCAGGTGTTAACAATCCTCTCTTCATTTAATGGGCCTGATGTTCCACCAATCAAGCCATCCTTTGTTCTGCCACCTGTGAGCTGATCCTGGTCATGAAGCTCCCATGCCACAGCTTTGCTTTTGTTTTGAACTCGTTCCAATGAAATTATAGTAGCTTTGACTTCAGGCATAAACACAACACGTATTTTTCTCCTGGTAAAAAATAACTTAAATGCTTAACTAATAAATTAGGAGCCTTAGGGCTGCATGATGCAGTTTAAATGTGATGAAGATGCACCTCGCCATGCTCACCGCCCCCCCCTTTTCAAAATCCTAGATCTGCCCATGACCTTGTTCATATTCTTTGGTGACAGGCACGGAAACATGCCTACAGAAGTGGGCGGTCTCTTCTCTCGGGAGCTCACACACTCACAGTCTGGGCTTTTCATCAGTAGTATATTTATATAAAATCACTCATTCCTAGAAGCCCTTATCAGACTCTTCCAGGACCCAGTGATGCTTGATGCCACTCGAACCCAGCACCACTGATGTAAATGGATTGACCCCGTCTTGACACCCGTGAGAGTCAGATCAGAAGCGCAGTTGTCTCTGCCACAACAGAGGCATTGAATCCAACCCAGAAACGAAAGGGAAAGTTAGGCTCGCCGGCCAAAAGAGACCGGGAAGAGGAATTGGCTGCAGTGACATCCTGCTTGTGAATTGTTCACGTTTGCAAGAAGTGGCGGGACATCAAGAAATGAAACCACCCAACTCTTTTAAACACTTGCACAGCATCAGTCTCCCCCCACCCTCGGAGAAAGTGGCTGGGAGGGGGAGGGGGAGGGGTGGGAATACGAGGATGTGGACCTTTCGCCGAGCAGAAGCCACCAGCCACTTGCAGGACATTGAGAAAAAAAGAAATGTGGGCCAGGGCTAACCATTAGCTTTACTGGAGAGGCGAAAAAAAACACAGCAAGCCTGCTTCGTGTGGGTGCAAGTTTCTTAATGCTGTTCCAGCTCTCTGCGTAAAAAACGAGCTAATTGCTTTCTGCAGGGCTGACTTCAGCAAACGCTGCAAATGAGGTACAGGGGAAGGCAAGTCTTGGGCTTGGCAAGTCCAGAAACTGGTTTGACCTAAATGAGTTAAGTCTGATATTACATCCATCCAGGTTTATCTTTAGCTGGTTCTAGCCATTTTGAAAGTGGTTTACGTGCACTGAACTTCTGTACTGCTACAGATGTGAACTGGTTTCTGATTACTTATGCTGGTTTATGCGTCATTTGTGTCCCTAGCCCAGGAGAGAGCACAGTGTGTGCCACTGCCGGGAGGCCACATGCACTCAGCCGAACCTGCCAGCAATAAGGGGACTGAAAGGCATAAGAAGCAGCAAACAAAGGGTCGTTGTTGCTGAGACTTATACACCACACGTAATAATGGTGCTGCAGATTTCTCTCCGGGGGAAAGTAACCTGTTTAAATTCGCTGATGACACCAAAATTTGGGGGGAGGTGAGCACGCTAGCAGGGAGTGAGAGATT